GTGTGGGAGGGAGGTAGAAGGGAGTAAAGGTGGGGGGATACATGGTGAAGGAAGGAGACTGACTTGGGGTGGTAAACACACAATACAATATAGAGACGCTGTAATGTAGTTGTATACCTGAAACCTGTATAATTTTATTAACCAATGTGACCCTAATAAATTCAACTTTTAAAAAAGCCAAGGGAGCTAAGTGAGGTTGATTTATTTCCCAAAATGGTCATTTGGAGTATGATGCCAGTAATGGGACATCAGTATCTCTGAAAGCATCAGACTTGAAATCCATAAAGGCATTTGTAGGGTCTGCCATCCCGTTTCTAAATGACGTTGACCCTGATGCTGCCTTCGGCTGGCTTCCCTGGAAGCAGACACTGAGACACATTCCTGTGCCAGTGGTTCATTAAGAAGTCCTCCCAGCCTGGCCGGCATGGCTCAGTGGTTTAGCATCAACCTGTGAATCCGGAGGTCTGGGTTCGATTCCTAGGTGATTGTTCAATTCAGGTTGCGGGCTTGATCCCCAGTGTGGAGCATGTAGGAGGCAGCCAATCAATGATTCTCTCTCATCATTGATGTTTCTTTCTCCCTCTCCCTTCCTCTCTGAAATCAACAAAAATATATTTAAAAAAAGACACTGTACATTAACTTATATTTAATACTAGTAGCCCTGCGCAGGAATCCGTGCACCAGTAGCTCTCCAGAAGCTCACTGCCTCCCTCCAGCTCTCGGCCCACTGCCCTGCCCTCCTGTAGCTCCTCCCTCTTGCCCCCCACTCATAACTTGCTTCCCAGCCCACTTCTGTAGCTCTCCGCTGCCTGCTTGTAGCTCTGCCCGCTTATAGCTCGTTGCCCTACCCTCCTGCTGATCTGTGATCCAGTTGTTCCGCGGGGTCGGTCATTATGTAACGACCATTTGCATATTACATCTTTATTATATAGGATACTATTTCTCACCAGGAGTTTGGTAGCCATTTAATATAAAGGCTTTATTTTTTTACATTCAATCTCTTCCCTATTTTAATGTCAATACAAAGTATTTTTTTACATTAAATCTTTTATCCATTTCAATGTCAGATACACTCATACAGTTTTAACTACTTTTCCCCCAAAGAAATAAAAGTTTTAAGTTTGACTGACTATATTTAATATCTAATATCTAAGTACAATATTAACTTGGGAGATAACAAAACAAAAATATAAAAAAACACAGAGAAAAGACTCCTCAACAATTCAGGAGGCAGTAATTACAACCGAATAGTGGCTACTTCCTAGGATTCTAGGCAAGAGTTTCCTTCTTCCAATTTCATGTGCTTTGAGAATTTTTGGGATTATTAAATATTACTTATGCA